CCGAGTAAGTTACTCAGCTTCCCCCGGTTCGCGGGAGAGAAAGGATGTGATTCGATTCGCGTGACATCTCGTGTGCCGGCGAAGCCCATTTGCCGCGGATAAAACCATCCACGGATTGCGACGTCTCGGAGCAACATTCTTCTTATCCGCGGGGCGAAAAAGGTGCACGTATTGTGCGCGCGGAGGGAAAAGAGAAAAAGGATCCAAGCCGCGGTGCCGGTTGAAAGAACTTATCGTGTTGAGAGATCGCGAGCATGGAGAGGACGTGTATCGGGTATAATCCCCGTCGATATCGCGGATTCCTACGCTGAAAGCACACCCCCGGCCGGCGTATACCTGTATACGTGTGCGCACGTACACACGCACGCCCGTACTCCCCGCGGATGCGCGTTCTCGCGACACCGAGAAAAGGAGGACGTAGACGCGCGAGAGTGCGAGCGAGAGTAGACATTTCTGTGTATATTTTATTGTGCACATATTGCGAACCGTTCTCCGCCAAGCCGCACGGCACACACAAACGCGTGTCAAACTCACACCGACGCGGCGTACACGCCTCTCGCTGGAGGCCCCCGGAGGGGTTTGGCGGCGAGGTCGGAAGGGATCGCGACTCGTGGTTGGGCGAGGTCGAGGGAGAAAAAGCGAGGAGCGCAGCGTGTGGAGAGGTCGGCGGCGGTGGCGTGGAGAGCTCGATTTTTCCGATAGCAAATTTTGCTCTTCGCTTTTTCCCGCCCTCCCCCCCGAACCAACGCCGAGCCACCGCCAACGCGTCCCCACCGTCAACCACCGCCGCCCGACCGCCACCCATCCACCCCCGACGGCGGTGGCGGTGGCGGCGGCGGCGGTGGCTGCTCCCGGGTTTCCCCCTTCCGGCGTGCACCCTGTTCCATCCCTTTTCCCCCCCGCCTGACACCAACGTCCCATTCGTTCCTCCGCTCGTTGCGACGGCCCGGACTCGCCCTCTTTTTTCTCCCTTCTACCCACGACCACCCCCGCCGCGCGCATGTTCTCCCTTTACCTCCCTTGTCCCCCCCGCCCTCCCGCCTCGCCCGCTTCCCTCTCAATCACCATCTGCTCCTCCGCCTCCACCTGGCGCGGCCCGACCGATCAAACCAGTGGCACTGCAGACACAATAAAAACGGGAAAAAAAGCGGCGGCCGCGCACACATTTCGCGCAGTCACTCTCTCTCTCTCCCTCTCTCTCTCACGAGCAAGGGATGACGAACTACCGGACGCTTTTGAGAAGTTATTCATGAAGCGCCCAACGAGATTCCTCGAGCGTCGCGTATTTTTTTTTCCCCAGACGCGACGCTCAACGCCCTCGATAAAAAAAATATATGGTGGCGTACAATTTTATACGAACGTTAAACGTTTCGTTTGTTCGACAAATCTCGAAATTGCTCGACAATTCCCTCGACTGTCGTCGTTATCTCGATAACGAGTGAAAAGCGTATAAGTATATATACGCGTCTCGGATCTCGGATACGCCGGGCGAAATCGCGATCGGTCGATCTTTTGTTTTTCCGAGTGAAAGGTGGAGCGAGCGCCAAACAAGGGACCGAGCGAGCCGAGCGGGTATTGACCATCCGATATCGATATTTCGCGACGCTTTATCGCGGACGTGCTCGTTAAACCGATAAATGAATAATGAGCGTACTGTATATGGGATGGATATGGAGAGACAACCGGGGGAGACAAGCGCCCGGGAGGGGGGGAGGGAGGATGGAGGGAGCGCTCGCGCGAGGGGGAGCGAACCAGCGAATCGAACAAAACAACGAAATCGAATCACTCGTGGTGGCCGCCCATACTTTTCATGCGTGAATTTTCCGACTGCCCCGACACGTACGTGCAGCTGCGGAATCGCCGGTAATAGCGTTAGTAAAATCGAGAGTAATGCCTGAAAGCGTTTACAATACGCATCGCTTCCTGCAAATAAAAACGTGGGGAACGCGCGCGACCGCGTGGTCATTGGCCGACGATGTACGACGAAACGGGTCAAAATCAAACTATACCCATCGTGACGTAACATTCTCGATTCCCTACCGGCGCCCCGGCGCCAAGAGGAAACGATGAGAAAAATGACATTCGCGGGGAAGAGATATCGATACGTCTAAGCGTTTTCGCAAACGCACTTGACGTCGATCCAAAAATCGACGATTACTATTCATATCTATAACATCCGATATATGTATTAAATGAGCCGCAGTAGCAATTACCTGATTAATTCACGTATTATACGGCCGATCGAAGAACTGTTCGATCAACGTGGGCGTTTATATATAGCCGCGCGCGATATATCCATAAACTATCCGGCAAGCGTGATTCCGGTTGACAATGATTATCGTACAGGTGTAACAGGAAAACGTAACAGCTCGGTTGCGGTCAGAGACGGCTGACGATGATGACAGTAATTGTCGAGAATTAGCGACGTTAATAACCTCGAGGGAGAAGGGAGTGGGAGGAGGAGAGGACGGACGCGTTCGGTGCGTGGACACTTGCCGAACCGGTCGTCGTCGCCGTTAATGTAACACACCCGATAATTCTCGAGCGCCCGCGATATTTTGCTCTTTCGCATCGCCGCGCCGGATTCGTTATTCATTCTCGTCCCCGCGCTTTTTCTCGTTTTATTTCCACCGCGCGCTCTCGCGCGAACGCGACAACGCCCGGCCTCGTCATAAACGCGCGGGCTGGCTATTAATCGCGGGTACCGCGTGGCAGGAGCGAGCGTGTCGACGAGGCGAGGCGGCGGGGCGGCAGCGGCGGCACGGCATTTCGATTTTATAAATATGAGATACCGGATACACGGCACGGATCCTGTACACCGCGCGCGTGTACGGGCGTGTAAATCGCACGCGCGCGCGCGCGCGCGCGATAATGCCCGGCCCGATAATAATAAATCCCCGCCGTCCGGCTACCAGAAGCGATAAATCGTAACCGAATTAAAAGTGACAGCAGATAATAATCGTCATTCCGATCCAGAAAAGTACGCGGGACCGTCACGTCGTATTTCAGGGCGCCGCCTCGAGTGCTTATCTCGAGGATATCGGGGACATAAAACGGCGGATACGACACGATCGTATTGCGATTTCCTATCGGAATTTATATTCCATCGCTCCGATACCACATTTCACACGGTACGTATCTCGCGGCTTGTTCCTCCACGTAGCGCACGAATGTCCTCGTGGAGAGGGGAGTCTTGAAAGAGTTATGCTCTTCATTCAACCTTAATACGTAACTTTTCTACGAGACTTACAAGCGGAAATCCACGTTTCGATCATATACGGAAAAATCACCCCGTTCCCGTTCGGTCTCCCAGAATAGAATCCTTCTTCTCTTCCATTTGCGCACTCTTTTACATCCCGATATTTTCTCTTTTCCTTACTTAACAGTATTTTTCCAGATATTACTTTTACGCAATTTTTTGAACAAATGACATGAGATATACAAATTTACCGAATTAATGATTTAAACAAATACTTAATTATTCGCGTAATTGCCGTTCGATTTCTCCAGTCACGTCACATCTAAAATACTTGCAAAAGTGTCAACATCATTAATCGGTTGAATACCCGCTCAGGAAAAGAGATAAGCGAGCTACTACCTGACTTGCGTCGCTACTGGCTTCGTGCGGACCTGCGCCGTAAGGCCGACGCCGAGGTCTTATTCATGATTTGAGGGACGCATCCTGCCGGAAAAAGAAGAGGAGTCGGAAAGAATAAGCGGGATACAAAGCGGACGGATGGAGGCGGGCTGAAGGAAATAACGGGCTCAACTGCTAAATATTCAATAAACGTGAGCATTACCCGTCGCTGCACGCCCACACCCAAGATAGATTATGGAGAAGCATCGATGAGGGGGCGAGAATATCGAAGTAGGCGAAGAAAGAGGGATCGCCATTTATTCTACAGAATTCGTGATCGAGATTCTTGTTCAGTAGCGTGTACAGAATGCCTCCTCTAGGACACTCGAGAGCTACCGTCGTCGATATTGCTGGCTTGTCGATAATTCGACGAATTCACTTGTAGTACGTCGAGTTCAAAACGAGATATTTCTCAGACCTTTCGCGAACGGCGAACGCGAAAATCCATTCCGCGGATAATAAACGACAGAAATATGCGATTCCCCGAACGGGATTTCTATATAAGATCGCGTCAAGCCTGCCCGGGGGCGTTTCACTTCGATCAGACGCGTCCTATAATTAAGAGATGGGGTCTCGTTACCGATCGATTATCGCGTCTCTCCTTTTCTCTCGCGACCCACGTCGACCCTAAATTATTCGACCGGGCACCACCTTTCTCTCGTCGTAAAAAAAGAGAGAAGCCAGGGACTGGTTCGAAAGAAAATGAAACCAACGCTTCGCGGTAGTTGCCATCAATGGGATGCACGTGCGAGAAAATAAAAAATTCAAATGGTCCGTTCGCCACGATGAATATGGATGCGATGCAAAAGGAGCTTGATTACGAAATCTTTGTAATGGAGATTCTCGAAATGGATCTCTGTTCGAAAATAATATACGCAGACGTTTGACGATGCTGTGCGAGAAAAAAAGAATATACGAGTATTATTTGATTTGTACGCGCAACGCGGAAAGAAGTAAAAAGCTTCATTTGCCCCGAGTGCTTTCTGAAAGCACGGTAATCTCGGTAGTTCTTAATAAAAGTCTGAAAGTCAAGTTAGGTTGCTTTTTTCATTGCGTAAGGTTTTGCGCAAGAGGTAACGCGGGCACCCCCGGCCGCGCTGCTATTTGCATGTTATTACCTTGTTTACATATTTATTCAATAGCTAAGATCCCGGAGGGTCGCAAACACCCCGTAATCGGGGCTTTCTCCTCGTGTTCGACCCTTTAATTTTGGATTAAAGCCCAAAGCTGCGCGCAACGTGCCAACTGAGCGATTAATAAATCACCGCCGACTGACGTCGCGTATCGATCACGACGATATCGTTCTTTAACCGCATTTTCAAGATACTTTTAAATAATGTAGGCAAAACTTGAAATCTCTTACCTGTTTGTGCATCTCCACGTTAAGCCCGTACGACATCTCGTAATACTGCAAAAGTAAATGAAATAGAGAGATTAGAACGTAATCACATAAATTACGATGTTAGTACGGAATTAGTGTAAGCGTAGTGTTGCGTAGCTACATCGTTATATGCGTTTCGTTAACGAAGCCATGTCGACGTTAAGCGTAAGGTGATGCGTGCGTGAACTAGCAGCGTAACGCCGACTTTCACATGCAAAAGCTGAACTTTGCCGGAAGGTTGCTCACACGAAATCCAATTTTCGTATTTACGTTACGGCTTTGTCATTTTATCCTACCCCGAAGACGTTACCGCGTAAAATTTCCGTTTACTCTCCCTCTCTCTCTCGGATAGCTAAGAAAATTTGATTAAAATTTGCGCCCACGAATGCAATGCCGCATATACCTATCGTGTTCACGAAGTACATGTAAAAGTAAACATCGATTTTATCTTTCAGTACGACGACAGAAAAATTCGTCGTAGTATATTCGGGATGTTATTTTTATAAATAACGATCCGAACGGAAATAATTGAAATTGGCGTATAAATATCGCATCTCGAATAAAACGCAAAGCCACTCCGTGGGATTAATCGAATTATCGAGTTTCGCAACCCAAGATGCTGCTTGAATCCGTAATGACGGCTGTGCGGGAAGAGCGCCTCGCGGAGGATCCTTAAGGGCCTGCTTCGCGATTGCAGGGTTGAGATTATATCGATCAAATGAGATTACGAGATTACGAAAAGCGGACCAAATGGAGCCGTAATGCGAGACCGCAGTCAGTCGGTAAGAGGGATAAGCGCGTCGAGAAAATGAGAAAAACGAAGACGATGAGAAAGGAGCGCGGGCCCTCTCTCTCTCTCTCTCTCTCTCTCTCTCGTCTCCTTCTCCCCGAGAGGGAGAAAAGGCTTGTACGTGTGCTCGCGCGCGCGCGCCGTCGAGTGCACGTGTGCGTATGCGTGTCGACCAAAGACCGGTTTCTCGTAACATCGTTTCTACATCGTGTGTACAAGACTCAGGCCGGGGCTGGCTTTAACTAATTCGCTTACCGAACAGCGGTTCTCATTTCGCACGCATGAGATTTCTGATCGTAAAATATTCGCAACGAAATAGCGCTTACGTATTTAACGTTAAACGTTGCCGCGGTAGCGGTTTCGAGCGTTTCCGTTCCTCGCGAGCGCGTATCCTGTATACCGACGCAATACCAACAGCGTGGCGCGTAACTACGGTTCGCGCAAAGGAGAAAAAGAGAGAAAATCCGGCAGTTCGCGATTTTAACGAGCGTCTTGAATATAGTCGCCGCATTATTCCCGGCGGAATCAACGACCGTTGTGAAACGGGCTTTATTGCCCGGTGGTCGTAAAGAGCGTACTAAACCGCGTTTTAATATATCGGTGCGGCTACGACAGTCGGTTTAGAGTTTTTCTCGCGTATATATATACGAGGGGAACGCGCATAACGTAATGCGATAGACGTCGAGACGCGGGCGCGAGAGAAGACAGTCTCTCGCGCTTTCGAACGCAATGTTCTCTCAACGTTACAATTTTTACGACACCGGTAATATTTATTTCGCAATGCGGTAGAATTATTATCGTTAATACTTCAAACGCGGGCAAATTCGTCTGGATGAATATTTTACGAACCTGCTCCGGACAGGCCGCGATTAATTAAACCCGTTTGTTTTAATAATTCGATATTCATTCGGCGCGGTTTATCTTTGAAATTACGATTATTTTGTAAATTGCGAACGCTACAATGTATATATAGAAAATATAAATATAGAAATTTGGCCCGGCTCACGCTCTGCTTTTAAATATAAATTAATCCGCCCATATTTTTATTACATTCGCGCTCGCGAGCATTATCAATAAATCGCGAAATGTATATTTCAATCGGTTCTGTTCTTGCGAAAATAATAATTTCGCTGAAAGCTCGCAGCTTATGTTAGCGTATAGTGAAATTTAATTATGTTTAAATCAACTCATTAAAACGTCGAGAACAAAATAAAAGAAAAGCGATTAAAAATTTATCAATATAATATTCCATTTTTTATCATCGAGTTTTTCTACCATCAGAAAACTAATTATAAATCTTTTTTTTTTTTAATTTAATGTCTAAATTTCAAAATTATAGCTTGGCAAAATATTTCTTTCTTTCTCCTGCATTTTGATTCACGGATAGAAAGAAAAAGATAGTTAAGAAGAAGCTACGCAAAGATCAGTCTCGCCACCGCAAACCGCCCCAACGAAGCAATTGGTTTTTAATTAATAGACTCCATTGAGAGAGGGAAACCCTCGGAGACGGGAGATCAGGATCTTAATTATCACGAAACTGGAAACGCCACTCTCGCGGTCGAGATGTCTAATACGAGTGAAGGAACACTGTGAATAGCGGCAATCGGTTACAATAATGAAGTGAAGTTCCGTAAACTCGATGCAGCGTGATTACGAATATCTCATGATATCGACATTTTATACGCGTTGCATCTTTTTTAATGTAAAAAATTGAGAGGAAAGTATTTTAGTGCTTTCCGACGACAGGTCTTTTTCTTGAGGTCGAGAATAAATCGAGCCTTTATCTATGTTCGTATAAAATTCTCTCTCATTCGAAAAATAGTCGAGAGAAGATTTAGGTTGAATTATTAGCTGAAAACTTACTCCGTGGATAGTCGTCTCTAATCGTGACCGATTGAATCGCGAAAACGACTCCGGGATGGCGCAATCTCTTTTCAATTCACGAGCAGCCAAACGATATCGATCACGATCGGTATCTACCCCACGAACGTGCCTGGCTCGTTCCCCTCTCGCTTAGAGAAAGAAAGACACTCATCGTCTCCCAATAAAAATCGTTCCTGAATATAACTCTTTAGGCGATGATAATGTATCTGATCGTGTGCGACTTGCAAATTTCGTCCTCGATGCAACCTCGTTACTCCGCGGTCGAATCGGCTTAATCAAGAACATGCCACGGCCTACGTGTACGGCTGCGATAGTTTGTGTTTACGCTCGTGTATTCGTACTACGGAATGATTCAGCAATCGGCGGCCTCGACGCATACACGAATTAATTCTCTGGTGAGCGTGTTCTTACTTCTAACATTATTTTCGAATTTAATAGAAACGTTTTAGACGCTCACTCAACCGATGAGAGTATCGCGCGCAGTTATATAGCGTGCGATTCGCGAGCGGAAACACGAAGCGGAGGATGTACTCACGTCAAATGTATCGGGTGGCATTGCGAGCGCGACGAACGAAGTGCTTCGCGACCGGTCTCCCTCCCGCCATGCTCGCGGTTTGCGCGCTCGTAAAAGTTCACGAGCTCGACAATTACATGAAAGAGTCGTAAAGGCGTAACGCCCCGTGGCTGGCTGGGGCTACACCCGTGTGGTATAACGATGTCGTACCGAGCATCCTACGGCTCGCACGAACACGACCGTATACGCCGATGGCCTCCATCGATAACGAGTCCCGAGAGATTCGCCGGCTGACTGCCAGTAAATGCCGCCTCGCGACGTCACGTGGAAAATTCGGAGGGAGACCAGATACGGGGACTGGCTTTACATGTGTGTGTATACACATCGTACACGAGATATCCCGGTTACAGTACTCGCGATATCCGGGAGAGACATTCGGTGGGGACGACGCGCGACGGCGGCGTTGTTCGAAGCGCAGGAAAGCAAGCTACGGCGATCACCGTAGCAAGACCGTAACGTGATACTTTACTCGGTACTCGCTAATTCATCGACGATGAGGGCGACAAAGCATCTGCGCGACGCACCGTTACGCGCGCTACGATTGTAATACCCGCATGAATCAATGACTCGCTCGATGCGAACTCGAACGTGTTTTAGCCGACAGACGCGAGTACCTGTTGCTAACGCCGACCTGAACCCGATACTACGATAAATTCTTGTTACGTCGGTAATCAATCATCAATGATAAAACGGCGCGATAGGACGATAGCGCAATAAATATGCTTTCGTGCTCGCCGATCGAAATTTGATTAAGTGCATTCCGTGGTTTCGCTATGTTTCGCGCCGACGTTCGTTACCGCGCAACTGGCAGAACAATAAGCGCCCCTGCGCCACATCGAAACGAAAGTGGAATAAAGTATGATATGTACATTTAAACCTGTCACACGCTTGAGTCGCGAGCCGATCGATCGATATGTGTACGGGTGGAACAAAGGATACGAGCGCACGGGGCGCGAAGATCGATCGATCGAGGGGAGCGAGAGCAGCGCATACCTGAACGCGAGATAAGCGCGCTCTCGTACGACGTACACGCTATGTACGTGAGACGATCGCGCGATTAATCTTCGTGCCGTGGCGTGAATCGGCGGAAGTGCCACGTCTACGCGAGAGCGAGCGACGCGCATTTTATATGAAGTTATTTGCATCGACCGTGCGCGGCCAAGTCCGCGGACTACGGCCTATAAATTATCGCCGGCCTATAATGCATGCTTCGTGAACTTTGGGCAACGAACTGCGAACCGCGTATACTTATGGCGTGCGAATCGCGGCGCGGCGCGGCTCTCTATTCGTGCGCTATCAAGATTTCTCGAATAAACTTCTAGTTAGATTAGCACAATGAATATCTTCGCGGTAAATTTGCAAATCTAAGGAAGTGTCTGTGCCTTAATCTAAAAAAAAGATTTAGATCTATGCTTCTCTGGATACTAAAGTGATGTAGCCTGGAAATTATCGTGTTATATGTGAAGACACTCTCAAGATAGATAGCCCGGAAAGAATGCAGATCCACCGAGACGCCGCGCGCCGGTACAACTGGCGTAAAATTAAAACCGGTACTCTCGGCGACCTTCGACCTCCCATGAAGAAAGCGGTGCGCACCTCTTTACGCTTCACGCGGCTTAATGAAGATGCATACACGCGGTCGACGGTGTATCGCGATAACGAAGATCTACGGGCGAAAGTAAGCCGAGACTCTCGCGGCGTCTACATGTATACTCTCGCGGGACAAAGCCGAAAAACAAAACTATAGAAGAGAAGCCTTCGCGTTCGGCGAAGGAGCACCGCACGGCACGTGTACGACGTGATTCTAAATTATTTCGTCATCCTCTTATGCCGCAAGACAAATATTTTTTTATCGCAAATCGGACTTCTAGAGATATATATGTACCTAAAGATATATGTCAACTTTGTAACGCGTAATTTAAACATCATTAAACTTATGTACTCTCGATATATTTCAGCATTGCGTCGTAGTGCAAATTTGACGAGCGAACTTACGATGCGGGGTGTTCCCTACAGTCCGCAACGGTTCAAGTCAAGAGTGAGCGCAAAAATAAACTTTGCGAGGACTCGTCTCTAGACGCGAAATGAGAAAAGCGCGTCGCGTCGCGTCGTTTGACCCTTTTACGTTTAATACGATTACTATCGATAGGTTCTGCCAATAGGTTTTGTAAGCTTGTGTGAACTCACCATGACGTAGTGGCGCTGCATCTCCGTCTTCTCCTGGGCGAGTTTCTCCAGCTCCAACTTAATACTGGACAGAACAAGCAGGAAATCGCACGTGTAAGCTAAACATTAGTAAGTGCAGGCGACATTCAAAAGCTGTGGGGGCAAAATAAAGAAGGGGGGCTCTCTCTTTCTCTCTCTCTTTCGTATTTGACCGGGGAGAGGTCTCGTGGAGCGTTTCGGCTAACAATAGAGAATAGAGAATATAATAACGCCGCTAAACGAGATTATCGAGTCATCAACGAGTCGAGGGTCTGTGACTTGGGCTCCGTGGCGAACGAGGGATACGATATCATGTTCGAAACGCGTTGTTCGATCGTGTAACGATTCGTTAATCTGTCCCGGATTTTTCCGCATGTATTTTTTTTAACCTTCCGAACCGGTTCGTTTCTATCGCGCCCCCAAATTGAGGGATATTGCGGAGGGGTGGTGCACAGCCAAGCCATTAAAAACACACAATTAGTGCAGCCGCAACAAACATTGATAATAATTGTTATATACTGGCCATCGTGTGTGTGTGTGTGTGTGTGTGTGTTACATTGTGTGTGAATTTCGTGTTTACCAAGTGGACCGTGGAGAATATTGGAAGCGTCGCGATTGCGAGCGAATAATTCATAAAAACGCATTCGTGGAATTTACATCGCGTTCAATTAACAAGGAAATCGTATGCAAATACAAACAATCGCAAACGCGTTAGGTAGGTACTACTGGTCGTTAAATATTAAATAACAAAACTGTTCATCATCGAGAGCGATAATTAATTATTTTGTAAAAAAAAGAAAACTATGTAATCGTCAGAAAATGTGTTTTCGAGCACTTTGCCTCGTTTAAAAAGAAAGTTAATACGAAATCAATACGAGAGAATCGGCGCGGCACTGCGCAGGTTCATTAAGAGTTAATCCTCGTCGCGTCGCGCTTTTCCCCGACGTGTTAAAGCGCATATTAATATTCACTTGGTCGGCCACCATGTTACCCCGACAGCGACATCAGAGCGGGAACAAAGGCCCCGTCCACGGTGGCGATAACTTTTTTAACGACGACAAGCCCGCGCCGTATTTTTGTTTAGCGCGGCGCCCCGGGGGCGCAGGAAAATAATCTTGCGGTCGCGGCGGTCGACAAAACCGCTTGTACCGCGGCGAAATGAATGCGTTCGTATGTGCCTGTAACGCTCGAGTGCATCGCGCGCCCGCCGCCGCTGCTGTGTTGCTGCTCCGCTGCTGCTGTTGCCGCTCTGCCTGCTTGCTCCATGACTGTATACCTACGATAACGAGTATGGGGTGCGTCGTGTCTCTCTCTGTGATTCGTGTTTCTCCCCATGTTCCCAGTATTTTCGGCGCGCGACGACCGCCAATGCTCGGCTCGCAACAATAATTTCCCCGAGATTTCTTTTTTTTTTCTCTCTCTCTCTTTCTCTGCCCCGTCCACCCAACTCCCCTGGAATTATACCTCTGACATTACTTTGAAGATCCGTACCATTTTCCTTTTAATTGCACTCCCACGTATAATAAAAGCGTTACAGCCGTGCTGCCGCGCGCATATCGAAAATTCATTTCGGTAAAATCAAATCGGTTTTTTAATAATTTCCCTCCCTTTTAGGGGTCTTCGCAATTTCGCGAGAATTGAAACAGCTCGACCGCGACCGAGCGATATCTCTCGAATTCGAGCGCGACGAAAACGAATGCATTTTAATCTGGGAACAACGGCAGGATGATTCGTATGGCTTTGTGTGCATGTGTGTATGTGTAAATGTATGTGTGAGTAACGCGCGTTGCCCTTTCTACATTTTTATCTTTTTCCCGGCTTACCATCACGTAATGCCTCTGTATCTCTATTTTTTCACTGGCCAGTTTCTCGCACTCCAATTTAAGGCTGTGTAAGAAGAACAAGAACAGAGCATTAATATCCACCGGCCCTCGAAATCGTCGGTGCCATTGTCCCTCCGCTCGTCGTTCTTCGTCGCGACATTAAGTTAAAAACGCGCCGTATAACGCGCGCCATATATCGCGAACGAGAGAAAAATAAAAAGGTCGGTACAACTATAAAAGCTTCAACGATAACGAACGGAGTAAAGACGGTTTATATCGATCTCGCCATCGAGTTCAGCACGGAAACGCAATGATAAATTTGACATTTCTCGTACAACTAAATTTTCTTTCTCTTTTGTGTTTTTCAAGGAGGAAATCCAGAAGTCGCGTAACGCGGACGCAAAAAGCAATTTGACTCGGTTCGAGGAAATGATAGAATGCATGCGGTAATTCCGACGCGGCGTTTAATATTCGTGAAAGGCGAATCCACGCTATATGTTGCGCGGCGTAATCTCACCTATAAGGCGATAAATTAGCACGGTATTAACGATCACGCTCGGGCGAGCGGCAACTCTCGTTACGCAAACGGCAATACTCGTACAGTCAGAAAGTCGATTAATTATTTCAGATTGACGCCGTGCCAACGATTTACGGGACGATTTATCGAGAATCACGTTGCGCGCTTGAATGCGCGCGCCTACTAACACGTGGCCGAGATAGCACTCCGTTTCACGCGGCTGGATGCATTTTTGCTTTTCCGCGATTAATATCTCAATCCGCGAAATTTATGAATGTTGTTCTAAACGCGCGATAGCTATTCGCTCAAACGTGCCCGGTGTCGTCGCCCCGTTGTAATTATTGTAATTATTTTTCTTTTATTGTCAGCACTTTGTACATTTAACTTTCAAGAAAAAAGGAGGAAAAGGGAGAGGACGATGCCGATGCTCTTTCAACGACCCCGGAACGCGGTGAATTTAACATATCGATGAATAGGGACGCAAATCCAACGATCAAAGAAACTAGTCACGCGCCAGCGAGCTTTTCGCTTCCGAACCCGCCAAAAAGCGCGACCCGCGATCTCGGAGGAAACCCTTTTCTGCGATCGCAGACACGTGCACCGCGCACACAGGCGCGCCATCCAAATGGGGTCTTCGCTCCTTCTCCAGACCGTGCGCATACTTCGGTGTGCACCGTTTCCGGTCGGACAAACAATTATCTGCCCACGTCCGTACATCAGTTCGTGCGTTTCGCGTGCGCGCCCACGTGGTATTTACACGAGCGCTTAATGGATACGGCCCTGCGGTGTCCACGGACGCGAATGTTTACTCCGTTCGACAAACTACTGACCGCTGAATGAAGTTTACATCACGCTCAACTATCCGCGAGAAAATATGTATTTTCGCCGAGGAAATGGGAATCCGACAATTTTTCTTGAAAAAAAAAACGCCGATAAGATCGCGTAAAAGCTTTGGGACAAGTTGTATAAATATCAACTTCCTAGGTACTCTACTGTTACTTTAGTAACGAGAATAAAAAAATACGTGACGTTAATTCAAAGAAAAAAAAAGTTATAAATATTAATGTCTGTCACAGACAACGAAGATGTACATTTACAGTCGCGTGATTAATACAAATTGCCAGGATTGTCGGAAACAATACTTGTGACAAATTGACCGTGTCTTTATTCATATTGAATAAAGCCCGTACATCTTCGATTGACTGCAATCGACAAGGACAAGTTTGTAAATACGAAAAGAAGTATACCTGTGATATTGGGCTTGTAAAAAGTTGAACTCCTCTTTTATACGATCGCAGGACTCGCCGACCGAAAATTTGAACGGCTGCCCAGGCTGCGGTGGACCCTGCAACACAAAAAAACACCATTAAATGTATCAATGTGCCTTAATCCCTTAACGCTATTAAAGCCCTTAAGACCTCGAGATTTATTCGAGGAACTCCGCCAACTCGCAGGTAACTTGAAATCGATACACAGAGTTGGACAAAAAATGTTGCCACTTTGAGATGTACACTCCGCAAAAAATCCGCAAGAAAGACCGTGCCACGCCTCGTTAATTAATGCTTTTCTTCAATTTTAATGTACATCTATCTTTCATGTTTATATGTAACTGCTCTATTTCTTTTACCGTAAAAACTAATGTCAAATTTTGATGACTCTTCCATCAGACTTTCTAGATTACCACAAATGAAATTGCCGGCGTAATAATCTTCGAGTACATTTCGAACTGTTCAAACTGTTCTGTAACTGTTCTGTAACTTCGACGCATAATCATAACAATATAAACCGGCTTAAAGTTTAATTGGTTTATTAATTCTATTATATGTATCTTATCTTGATTCAGGTTTCATCCTAGCATCGCGTTATACATGCGAAGTACAATGTAATAAATACCGGATAACACGCTAAACTTATTATAGATAGTTAGTTTCTCATCTAAAAAAGGAAAATTTCGCTCTATTATTATTCGGTCGAAAGTGATCACTATTATGCTTCAAGCTTAAGAGTCAAACTTATAATCGCCATAATATAACTGCCAGAATAGAAACAACTTTAGTAATAATTTAAACCAGTATATCACGTCAAGAACGATCCTTAATTTGATTTATATAACTGAATTATATTTATATTTATGCCAATTATAATTATATTTATCCCAATTAATTAGATATTTCAGGATACGCTACTTTTTTGTCGCGGGGCATGTGCTGTAGTAAAATCTGAGTGACTTTGGTGGTTGCTGTATCAGCGCGCGTCCACAAGCGTAAAAGCCACATTATTGCCGGTAGTACCAGTGCTACCCGCCTCCGTATACCTGTTGGTAATAACGTTACGAGCGTGTTATCGATCGTTTTGCACGTCGTGCCCCGCAAAACGGATACGCCACTATGGCCTCGTAAAAGCCGGAATATAGTTCCCTCTCCCTTTCTCTCTTTTCCCTCCGTCCGATCGTTCTCCCGCATCGTGCGATCTCTAGTCTAGTCCGCGCCGGCCGAGGAATGCCGCTCCGGAATCGCGACGTTTCGTGCTGGAGCGCGAGCGGGAGGTCGCTAACGAATCGCCGGCGATCGCGATCGCGTAATGAAAATCGTGCCAAAACTCGTAAAATAAAGATCAACTTTCGGTCGCGTTGCCGCGCTAATGAGTCACACGTGTGGATACCGGGCCCGGGGGGTCTACTATATACATGTAATATATAATACCTCAGAAAACGCTAAGTACTTCCTTGTTTGTGATTTATTAATTTTTAATCTCATTTTTAAAAATCGTTTGTTATTGTCTCGTTAGGATTTCTTTTACTTTTTACAACATGCTTTTAAATTGTATAATATTTTACTGTGATAAGTGATAAGCGAGTAATATTTCAAAGAAAAATTCGATCTCACGTAAATCGATATACTTTAACGTAGTCCTCGGAAAGCCTCGTAGCTGCGAGTAGTCACCGCAGCGTGTTTTATTAATTTTTACGGCTTCGCAAAGGGCTTCTCCCCGACGCATTATCGCACATGTATATTCGAATTACGCCGAGGATTTGCGCGCCAGGTGTGCAATATCTTTAAACGGCTCAAGCTCGACGGAATCATACCAGACAACACCGTGTATCTCGCTCGCTTGCTTGTTATCTGCGAACGTATATACACATCCAGAAACACATATACGTACGCGTATATACGCTCATCTTTCGCAAGTGACTTTTAAATGCGACGTAATGCGAGTAGATTCTCTCATCTATCTTATTAAAGGACGGAAGAGTAGAGTTAATGCAAATTGGCAAATAGCTGATCGCAATGGAATCGCTGATCCGATTTGTATGCGACAAGTCACGATGGTCAATCCAATTAATTTATCAGCTTTCGCCCGTGGGACAAAATAGCAGACGTCAGAATAAAATGTAACTGCTTGGTATTTTCCGGTAGTTCCGTTTATCAGCTCTGTCAATAGATCGATATGAATTAAGAATATCAGTCTGTCGAGATACGGACACCACTCGTAAAACAGATTTATATAATTTATTTATTGTAAATTATTTGTACTGATATAGCCAAAAAAACACATCTACATACATACATAATACATATGGAAATGTCGAAAGTAATAGTATGTAATTTATCTGACATGATAAACACACAACAGCATCTTGCCGATATTTTCTTGAAATATTCACATCGTTTTAATGTTCAACGAACGGAATGACGATATAGTGATGGCCTTTCGCATCGATGAGCGAGACGGAAAAGCAACACACCCGCCGAGCGACACGGTTAGCGTCCGTCGAAAAGCGAAGCGCGCGAATTATGTCGTTTCGACGAATAATAATGAGAGAACGTAGCCGTCGCGCACGTCAATCAGTGTCCTTTACGTGCCGCGGCCGATTTAATTATCCGATAGCCTCCTCTCTCCCGCATCATCATTCGGGTTCCCTCTTTCCACGCCGCGCCGCGCCGCGCTTTTTATTCCGCGCGATCGAGAGCCATCGGCAATACAGCGTGCGCGCGTTTGCGCCGGCGGTATTCAAATAGCGCGTTATCGGTCCGACAACCCCGTGAAAACGATAGCCGGGGCCGGATAACGACGAACAAGAATTGGCATTAAAGCGCAACGATCGGCACGATCGCGCTTTTATTGGTTTTCGAGTCTCGCGCGACATTTAATACATCCCGGCAGATACCGGATTACCGTTTTGCAGTATATTATCGCGGACAACTCAATGGAGCGAGGAGGCCGCTCAATGGACGTTCGTTAAAGCCGACTATGGGGCGACATCGTCGTTTACGGTCACCCTGTCTCTTCGGCCGTCAAAGAGGAAAGGAGAGAGAGAGAGAGAGAAGGGGGAGGAGAGGAGACGACAAGTCGGCCACGCTGTGTTACGTCCTAACGTTAACAGCAACTGGACCAATCAGTTGCGTTTGCAGCCACTCAAGTACGCTTAAGTGGCGCGTATCACTGCGTCTAATTACGTTAGCTCCATCGATCCCGCCGTCCGTCATCCACTAGATGCCTGATTATCGGCACGTATTATCGGACAGGTTAACTGCTCTCTACGATGTCCCCGTCTGTGATCAAGCCCGTAACCAAACACAAGGCACGCGCGCGCTCAAGTGCCAAGAACATTTGCTCATCTCGAGCTACGGTAAACGGGCATTGTGCTCGCATTAGGGTCGCAACTAAAACGGAAATGCTGCAATGTATATATTACGCTCCGAATATTTTAAATTTGTTCTCGCGTTCCCCAGTTACATAATATAATTAAAGATTTTAGATTTATTTCGATTTACCAACTCGTTAAAAGACTTAACTTCAAAGCTATTATTACAGATTTCACTGTAACTCGTTTCTCTTGCAAAAAAATAAATAAGAGTTTTTTAACCAGTGTCTTTTCTAACTTAATATTCGAGAGAAACAGCTGCCTGTATCAATCGAAGCACCTGATATACCGTGCTAATCAAAGAGACGGTAGTTTCGAGAGTTGGTGGCCGTGCGCACTCGTCCGCTTTACTTAGAGGCTCTTGTGAGAAACTCGCTAAACCATGGTGGGATTACGCGAAAGGACGACGCAAACAGGGAGAACGGCCGGGAAGAGCTTCGAGAGGGTCGGCGGTTTTCGCCCCACCGCAAAACCACCGACTCGTGGCGCGGATTCCAAAACCACCCGACGACCAGAACCGACCGCGTTCGCCCTATAAGCGAACCTCTCTCTACCACCTTCCGTTATTCCGTTATTCCGTAGAGAGCCGCTGGTCGCGAAATATCATCGAAATATCGCGCGCGGTGGAGAGAGTAGGGAAAAACATGATTTATCTTATAACGGTTTAAGCACCGTACAATCGGAATTCCTTGAACAGCCGTAATATCGCGCACGAAATGACCACGATCGACGGTAATGAGCTTAAGTTACGTAATTTCTACAATTTTCGCGGGAAATTAGGCGAAAAACAATACAGAAATCGATGTTGGGTGTATAACAAACTGATTGTCGAACAAACGAACTCAAGCAAACCCAAGCACGATCGAATACCGAAATTATGCAACGCGATAACAATTCCCTTAATATCGCCAGACAATACGCTTCAAGATTTGCATGAGGTGTAGAGAGAAAGAGAGGGGGGAAAGGGGAAACCGAGAGAGAGAGAGAGACAGGTGTACGAGCGGTTGTATCTTATTGATCATTATGATTATTCCCCGTAGCAGACTGCGAATTCATCCCGAGACTGCGGGGCACGACCGCTATTTGCATAAGCAATGCATTTTGATTCGTAGACCCACATTGTACTCGGCACACGGGGAATGACATAAATAATGCATAGAATAATGATAGCGCGCGCGGCGCGCGAAAGCGAGTCTCTCTATCGCGAAACGAAACGAGACGAGACGAGACGAGACGATTCTCGCGCTCGTAATTCTTCGGTATGCTGAAATTGCGGTGCGCCGCCACCGGCGCATGCATTTTGTTCTACTCTCGTTAACCATTACCGGCGCGTTATATCCAGCTTTCTCGCGGTGTGATTCGCGCGATCTTCGTGCACACGTTACGGTAGATCCCACCGTGCATCGTTCCGCGTGAAAAAGCGCAAATAGACATATCTGAAATAAATAAACGGAACAATGAAGCCGAAGGCTTCTTTAATATCAGAAAACGGGAATATTAAGATCCGAGAGGTCTCAAGAGGCGAGCACATCTGCTGTAACGCATTGAGGCTCTTATACAGTTAACGTATAATCATATCGTATAATTTGCCAGGCCATTTACTTAAATTTCTTTCGCGAGAGGTAACGAGCAGAGTTAGCGTATGTAGAACGGCTAATAAAACTATCGTGTCAAAACGTTATTTCACGGAAGAAGGTGGT